GATATAAAATCCAATACTAAAACATAAATTGGCATTTCCCTATATGTAGAGTTTAGTATATTAGCATTAGATATCGACATGGAAACTCACTAGTGCGTGTGTTTGATGTCGTAGGATCCCGGTAGTAAGATGTTGGTGCATCCCGAAGTACCGCTTGTGTCTACACAAAACATCGTGAGTATTCACGCACTCCCCTATTTTCGGTTTTTATGTTTTGGGGTGGAAAAGCATGTCCAGAAAAACTACTGTTTGCATGTTGTATTTAAATTGAATTGTATCAAACATGATTGCTATTGTATTGCTATGTTTCTTTATGTATGTCTATGCAACACGAAACATGAGAACTTATCGTACTAAGGCCCTTCCCTTATCTCTAACCATTAACTCTTTGAGCCAATGGTCGTTATGGATAGCGCTATTAGGAATTGACAACTCCTCACTCGCCCGAATCGCTGGAGTGCATGATACCATATTCATCTATGGAACGATAAGCATAGATCTCGATAGGGCTTCAGTCATAGGTTTGGTTGAGACTCATTGTTTGCTCATACACATACAAACTCGTTTCTCGTTATAGCAATAAACTTGTATTCATTAATAGCAATCAACTTGTTTATCATTGAAGCAATGTACTTGTATTTACGAAAAGCCTTATTGTACGCTCGATTTTTATAAACTTGTGATACTCACCAACTATTTTCATAGTTGACGCTCATTTTACATGCTTTTTCAGGAAGTAATTAGTAAGTGGATGTAAAGATTCATCATCATAGAGCATGCTGCATCGTGTTGAAGCTATTATGAAGCTATATTTTGAACAATGTTATTTTGAAAAACTTGTATTTTGTTTCTTTTGAAGCTATGGGTTGTAAACTTTTAAATACTGCTATGGTGATGTATCTTTATCTTTTGCATTGAAACCGTTATCACTGTCATACCTTGCGTTTCCGCTTTAGCGGGGTGTGACACGTATCGACTGGATCTGCCACTTAGTCAGATGCACAACACCTTCAATGTCTCTCAGCTTCGGAAGTGCTTAGTGAATGACTCCGCAGTTGTGCCATTAGAGGATATTCAGGTGGATGATAGCTTGAACTACATCGATATACTAGTAGCCATTCTCGACAAGAACAGAAAGGATTTGAGGAACAAGACGGTAGGACTGGTGAAGGTATAGTGGCAGCACCGCAAGGGCTCAGAATGGACATCAGAGCAAGAGGATGAGATAAGGGGGCACTACACGGAGCTACTTCCAGATGCACTGGACTTCGAGGACGAAGTCTGATTCAAGTGGGTGAGAATTGTAATGCTCAGTAATTTTCAAAGGTGTTATTTGTATAAAGGATTGGTTATTTTATTTTGTTTGGGCCTGGATCCATTGGATCATGCCTAATGGGCTTTAAGGTGCCATACGTTGGGAGAACCACCCTGTGTACTCGCATCGTACTTGTGATTACGGATCGTGCATGTCCTTGACGTACGCGCAATGTACCAAGGAGTACACACAAAATACGTGAGATGTCCATAAAACCCTAATTTGAGGGTTTGATCCCTATGTAAAGAACATTATGCACCTAAGTCCAGCCTCCCTCTCACCCTTAAGTATCTCCCATGAAACTCTAATCTATTTTTGGTGTGTTCTTGTTCTTCGAAGGCTCTAGAGAGTATTTTGGTGTTGGATCCATCCTCCAAGGAAGTAAAGGCAAAGCAAGGTGGTGGTGCAAAGGTGAAGATATAGATCTGAGATTGTTGCTTCATTTATGGCCTTTTCAAGGTATAAAGTCTTGACCTTGATCCATGAATGCTTAGATCGATTAGGTTGAGTTTTTGGACCTTTTCGTCCCAACAACAGAGCTTTATGGTTCCAAATTTGTTTCAAGGCTTAGAGTTGCCAGCCTTAGTGCTATTTGAGTCCTAAAGATAGAAAAGTTACCATCTTGAAGGTCTTAATGTGACCATGCATGAGTTTTAGTCATTTCTATGGAAGTTGGTTGCCATATTTCAAGTTTGGGTCCATTTGGTGGTTTGCAAGCCACCAAGTAATCGACTTTATGGGTTAAGACACTTTATTGGGCTTAGATCTGTGTTTGAAGCTTAAGGTCTTTAAGGATTATGCCTTTTTGCAGAATATGGCTTAACAGGGTAGTACAATGGGGGTACAAGCCCATATGCACAACATAGAAGCCATGCAACATGTATGCCTAGCGTATAGAGGCGTAAGCCCCGCTTACTCACTAATTTTAGGCTTCACGTCATTTGGGCATCGATTTAGGCATTCCTTGGACTTCTTAGCTATTGGGCCTTAGTGGCCCATCAGAAGTTAGTTGTTAGGCTAAGGACATCTATGTGCTGAAGGGAAGGCCCATTTGAGGAGTTGGGACCAATTTAGAAAATTGGGCCATTCGTGATCCCGAAAGGTTTTATAGAATTGGACCATTGAGGTTATAGATTTGGACCTAAGTCATGGACTAGTTTAGATAAGGGTAAAATGCTCATTTTACCCTAAGAAGGATTATGGGTTTTTAACTGAGTGATATTTTGGTAATGATAGCTTGAGAGTGGGCAGATCGACTGTTAGAGATTTCTTACCATGAGGTTTAGCATGCAGGTGAGTCGCCTTCCTATATAAGTGGGTCACATGCACCAATATCGGCCCACTAGTAGTTTTTTATAGTAGAGATGTTTGTCTTTGTGATAAATGTTTGGTATGCTTGTATATGTTGAGATTTATGTGATGTTATACTATGTTATTATGTGGAAGTGGTAGGGGTGAAATAGTCCATGTAGTCGATCGAAAGGACCAAAGGGGTAGGATGACACCATGATATGCTAGGCAGTATGTGTTTATATGCTAGCATATTATATGGTAGTGGTAGGGGTGAAATAGTCCCTGTAATTGGTTGAGAGAGACCGAAGGGGTAGGTCGGCACCCTAATATTCTAGGCAGTTACTGGTTAAAAGAGTTCGAAGGGGTAGGCTAGTACCATGATATGCTAGGCGGTTACCGGATGAAAGAGACCAAAAGGGGTAGGCTAGTACCCTGATATGCTAGGCGGTTACTGGTAGAAAGAGACCAAAAGCGGTAGGCCAGTACCCTGATATGCTAGGCGGTTACCGGTTGAAAGAGACCGAAGGGGTAGGCCAGCACCCAGATATGCTTGGCAGTATGTTTATTGTATGGTATGTGGTATAATGAAGGAACTCACTAAGCTTTGTGCTTACGATTTTCAATTTTGTTTTTAGGTACCTCTTCTTCAAAAGGAAAGGAGTCGGCATGATCGTAGCGCATCACACCATAAGTTCCGCACATGAGATCTTTGGGAGATATACTCTGATGATGTTCTATTATGACATGTATTGATAATTAACATCTTAGCATTGATATGGGATGACACGATGGATTTTTTAATACTAATGGTATTTTAATTACTTAATTAAAAAATGAAATTTGTAGTCTTAAATTTTGGGATGTCACATAAGCTGATTGGCATGGAGGAGGTCAAATCTTTGATGATAAAGTTAGAAAAGACTCTAAGAGTATGTTGAGATCCGATTAAAGTTTATTAGAACAATGTATGTGTTTTCGTACCTAGTAAATTGATTTTCATCGCTTGTTTATAGTTGATATTTAGGAGGCTATGATCTCTTCTTGTATCGAGCAGGTTTGTCATCTTGTCGTATGAATGGTCGTATGCCTGAAGGTACACTTATATGTACTTGTTAGTCGTTTGGGAGTTGTTTCTAATTGATCAAAGGATCTATTAGTCACGTATCACAATATGATATATTTTCTTAGAGTTTCAATTTACTATAACATCGTTGAGAAGTAAATTCGTATCTTCGTTGTTATTTTTTGTGGTTCTGTACTTGTATATAGTTCGGCATGCATAAGGTCCGATATATACTAGGTCTGGTGTATACATGGTTCGATATATGTATCTAGGTTGGTACAATGAGGGTATATTCATAGCTTCGAGCTAGGTTATGCCATATTATGTCCCCGAAGTTTGGATCATTACTCTTCTATCAAATATATTGATTCAAAATTTAAAAGGTATTGTAAATTAACCGTTGTAATCGAATAGAGATAGACACCTGAATTAAACTTTGATGTGACCATTTGGTGGCTTTTAGTGTTTATCATTGCATATAACCGTCTCTTTAAAATCATTTCCATTTAAGGAGACTAGAGTATATAACTACTTCTTTGTCTGCTCCATAAATATAGCTTTGTTTGATTCACTATAAATACCTTCCTTCTTTGGTTACTTTTCTTCACTGCCTGTAATTTTCTTCCTCTAAGTGTTCTTCACTCTTTCTCCTTCATTATATTTCCCCATGGCTATGAAAGATATTTCGAGCATTCACACCATAAAATCTAGATTTACCCCTAAATCCTTTCTTCTGTCATATAAAATACCACATTAATCCTGAATTTAGCCAACAGTTTCCTGAGGATAGGAGTGCCATTTTTGACGTACGATAAGGTTTTGTTGGTGTTTACGTGTTTTCTTTAAGTCGGGTTTGCGGTTTTTGGGATTTGATTTATTGATGATGTTCTTGGATTATTATCATCTTCATATTGCTCAGGTTATCCCAATTAGTTTCTGAAAATCATTTGTTTTGTGATGTCATGTTCTGCTCTAAACACAGTGCTTTCTATTACTCTAGTCCTTCACTTCTATGTGCCTATATCTAATGGCAATTGGGTGTCTTTCTCCATTATTCATCGGTTGGTGGAAATGTACGATGGTTTTCTCACTTCCATCAAGTATTGGAGAGAATAATTTTTCATTGTTCGTTCTCTAGCTTTTCCTGTACATATGTTTTATTATGCTACTACTGACAGAATTGCTGATCCTTCTCCTGGTTTGTCTCTTAAAGAACAAAGTATTGCGAACTGTTTATAAGATAATTTATGTCAGGTTGGTTAATCCTGATGAAATAATTGTAGGTATGGTGGGAACTAGTGCTTACTAGAACAAATTAGGGAAAACGCTATGGAAACCCTAGTGGGTCATGACATTAGTCAATTAGAGCGGCTACACATAAAGTGCTTGGTTGGTTCTTCATTGGTCATAGAAAAGGTGGTCATCCCTAATTCGCCTTCTAAATTGGAATCTAGCATGGACTCTGCTATCACTCCCTCTAGCATAGGTACCACTATGCTTGGTGTACCTTCTCCTACTAAGAGTATTGTTAAAGTAGATTCTGATAGCAGAAAACCCCCATCTTCCTCAGCCAAGGTTGTGTTAAAGGGCCCTTCCTTTAAAAGAAAACTAGATCAAAGAAAACTCTTTCTTTATGTGAAGTTATGAGCCGCCTTTACAAACCGATCGACCTATCTTATCCTAAACGACTAAGAGCTACTAGAAGCAATGATGTAAAAGGTCATGGTATGTCGTCTTTTATTAGTCAACCTACTTCTAAATCCATGAATTCAAAACCTTCTATAGAACCATCTACAATAGCTACACTGCATGACCGTCCTGTTATTACTAACCCCAAACTGAAGCATGTTGAAGAAAACTTTGCCTCTTCTAATGCTAAAATTCCAAATCCCAAGATATCTCTTTCTTATACTTCGAGGGAGACCCCTATTATTGAACTCTTAACCCACTGTCAAAAATTGAAACTCCAACAAACTTATCTGTGACTGCTGTCTTTTAACAAAAACTTTTTAGGTTTGGATTTGGGCTTTTTGAGGTGTCGAAGATTGAGTCTACGGTTGTGACGACTAGACCTCTTCATCTGAATTTAGTTGTTCTAGTTATTTTAAGTGTTCTCCCTTTTGAAATAGTTGATGTTGACACCTTATTTGTTGATGATTCTCAGGTTGAACCATCTCTTGATGTCTCGTAGAAGAATCGAGAACAAACACATATGTTTATTATATAATGCTTTATTCTGTTTTCTCTTTTTGTTGTATATTCTTCTTGACATTAAGTTGATTCTTTTGTCCTTATTCTAATTATTCCTTCTTCTGGTAAAGAGACTTCATTGCCTACGCTTGTCACTTCTGTTGCTTCATTTCCTGAAAGACAGCACCCTTTTTTCATGATGTCTATTCCTAAAGGTCTTGAACTTGCGAATACTTATGATGAAGAAAGTCTCGATAGAGCTTGCTCTTGTTTGATGGAAGGGATTCACCAACTGATTGAGGTTTTGTGTCATACTCGTAATTAAGCTAGCATACTTGTTCGGAAGCAAATGAGGTTTGAGGAAGCCTTTCAAGCACTGAAGGGGATGCTTGTTCACAAGAAGTTGGAGGTGGAGGTAAATGGTCTTCCTAAAGAGGTGCACAGTTTATCATAGACGAACATGCAGTTAGTTGATGACATAAGTAAGAGCTTTTGCTACCAGGAGGAGCTGTAAAAGATGAACCAACACCTTGAAATAAAATTTGATGACACAATTGGTCATCACTTTGGGTGAGCTAGGAGTTGGAAGAGAAAAACAAATAATTTGAATCTTTAAAGATTCAATAATTCAAAAATGTTAAGTAGTTGGAGATTCCATGTACAGGAAAGGATGTGAGCATTAAATTGCTTGAGGAGGAGTTGCATCTCTAAGTGCGCTTCAGGCTTATGCTAAGCAATGATGTGTTTCAGTATCAAACGATATCAGAGCATGGCATCTCAGACATGCAGTGGTTTGTGAAAGAAGGTATCCTTTCTTTTGTTTGCGCTCTGTTGAATTCAGACAATGTTGGAAAATTTAATGATGCCCTCCCGATTATGGCAATCAAATTGGGCTACATCAATCTTGTGTTGAGATGAAGGAGAAGTATTATGAGGCATTAAATGGGAAAAAGGTTATTTATTTCTATCACGAATCCCAACGCCGTATCATGGATCCTTTCTCCTATATGGTTGCTTATAAGTACTTATTGTTTGAGCTCTTGAGTGGGGATAAAGTGGACATTGATGTGTTGAAGGAGAAATTGGCATCTTTGGATGACCTTTCCAAGTGCATTGGTGTAAGTATTAGTTCTTGATTTGTATTTGATGGCTCTTAGTTTGGAAACTTTTTGGTTGTATGGTTGAACTAGAGTGTTTGTCAGAGAATATTTTGTTAAATTTGGTAACTTGCAATCTTGATGTATTTGTAATCTTTGTGCACCTTCTGAAATTTCTTTTTGAATCATATTGGGTGTTAGTTTATGTTTACTAATAAAGATATAATCGAACCATCATTTAGAAAATCATGGTAAACTACTTAGAGGTGTACTTAAGGAAAATAAGGTTGAACCATGATTTGATGGATCCGGGTGACCGAACAATAAGTTGTGAAGATTTATGGTTCATAGTTAATGAAAGTAGGGTCGAAACATGATTTGATGAATTATGGTGATTGAACCATAAGTTACGACGACTTATGGTTCATATTTAATGAAAATCGGGTGAAATCATGATTTAGTGAATCATGGTGACCAAACAATAAACTACAAAGACTTATGGTTCATACTTAATGAAACAGGGTCGAACCATAATTTGGTGGATCATGGTGACCAAACTTTAATCTACAAAGACTTATGGTTCGTATTTAATGAAAATAGAATCAAAGCCTGATTTGGTGAATTATGGTGACTGAACCACAAGCGGCAAAGGCTTATGGTTCATACTTAATGAAAATTAGGTCGAACCATAATTTGGTGAATATTGGTGATCGAACCATAAGCTACAAAGAGTTATGGTTCATACTGAATAGAAATAGGGTAAAGTCATGATGTGTTGGATTATGCTAACGAAACCATAAGCTACAAAGACTTATGAGTAATACTTAATGAAAATAGGGTCAAACCATGATTTAGTGGATCATGGTGACTGAACCATAAGCTTCAAAGACTTATTATTCATACTTAATGAAATTAGGTTCGAACTATGATTTGTTGGATCATTGTGATCGAACCATAAGCTAAAAAGGCTTATGATTCATACTTAATGAAAACAGGGTTGAGATTTTATTAACAAAAAGTTAAAGATTGCATTCAAGTTCATAACCAAACAACATACAAAAGGAGATCGTTGCCTAATGTTATTAATACATTTCTTGATCAACTATAGGAAATTTCATGACTAGTGCCACCTTAGAAATGGAATTGGAAAATATTTCACATAATTCATGTTCTTGGCAATCGAACTCCTTCCATGTTCTCCATGATGTATGAACCATTTCCTCTGGCTTCAATTACTCGGTTTGGTCCTTCCTAGTTTGGTCTTAGCTTTCCAATATGCTCTTACCAAATTGCTTCATTTCTATGAATAATCAAATCTCCCACCTTGCATGTTGTGCTTTTAACTCTTGCATTGTAGTATGTTTATGTTATTGCCTTCTAAGCCACTTGTCGTATATCCGCATGTGACATCCCAATTTTCATGGCCAAAAAAGACTGATTCGTTTATGCTTTATTTAAAAATTAGAGTACCCTTTTTATAAAATGTTGTGGGATTTGTTTTTAGAAAAACATGATAAATGTGTTATCAAAGTATTTTCGAAGAAATGTATTTCATTTCTTTTAAAACTTTGGGATGTCATCATTAATACAGAAACATAAGCATAAATTGACCTTACATTCATTTACATTAGCGATCTACATCTGCTTAATCTCTCAGTGTAAAGTAGCTTTTTATCGACACCTGTGACACAAATAAAATTGAGTGGTTCAGGTTGGAAAACATGGTGAGTACATAGGGTTTTCAACCCACAATAATATAATTATGTTTAATCATTAAACAATTGACCCAATTATCCATCCCCATTATCTTCTTTATTTCTTAAGGAACTATCCTAAGAATCATTTATCATTCACTCATTCATTCCTAAGGATTGTCCTAAGTAATAGGCACGAAGTCCGTCGTTTGCCTAATGACACAGCTGTCAATGTTATCTATTAAGCACAACTGCCAATATTATCATTTACGCGCATGTGCCACTATTATGACATTCTCTATTAGGCGCAACTGCCGATATTGTCCTTTGGGCGCAGCTGCCAGGGTTATTACGTTCTCCATTAGGCACAACTACCGTTACTACCCTTTGGGTGCAACTGCTAGGATGTTTAGAGTACATTGTAAATAAAAACATCGACAGGTTGTGGCACAGCTTCCAATGCTCATCTATAATGTACTAAGTCCATTGCTGCCAATGTTTACCTATAGGGCACTATATCCATGACTACCAATGTTCCTCTATATCAGCTTTCATCCCTTATCATTCATCTACCCATGTTTTACCCAACATATTTTGTAGATATAAAATACATATATAATTTAAATCATTTAAAACATGTATAAACTGTCAATGTTATCTATTAGGCACATCTACCAATATTATCATTTAGGCGCAACTGCCAGAATTATGACATTCTCTATTAGGCGCAGCTACCGATATTGTCCTTTGGGTGTAGCTGCGAGGGTTATGACTTTCTTTATTAGGCGCATATGCCGATACTACCCTTTGAATATAGCTGCTAGGATGTTTAGAGTACATCATAGATCAAAACATCTACAGGTTGTGGCACAGCTACCAATGCTCATCTATAGCGTACTAAGTCCATTGTTGCCAATGTTCAACTATAGGGCACTATGTCCATAACTGCCAATGTTCCTGTATCTCAGCTTTCATCCCTTAACATTCATCTACCCATGTTTTATCCAACATATTTTGTAGATATAAAATACATATATAGTTTAAATCATTTAGAATGTGTATAAGATCATTCATCTAGCATAGATATCAAGTAAACAAATAATATGCACACATAACACGTAATTTATATAAAATACTTCATATCTAAGTGTAAGATAAAAGTAACTATGCACTCACCTATCAAAGTGATGATTCCAAACTCGGGAAACGCTTCACTTCTAACGATTCTATTTTCCTTCGACGAAACCTAGAATTATTATCGCTAAGTTTTAGTATAATCTTTATTGCGACTAATTATTAGTCTAGATTGGTCATAAACTCAAAGAATAATTTCATGATCTATCAACTAAGGAACAACCAGGTAGGATCATACCGGAGGTAGGATCCGTTTGGTGTATGAAGTATACTGTTTGGAAATCCCACTTTAAAGTCCTCACTAAATCACATCCTAGACATCATCCCCATAAGTAGATCAATCAGTATAATAACTTGGAATCACTAATAAATCTTGTTTATAAGTTCATAATATTGATAATGAACTTAAACATGAGTTATACTTAAAGTAGTGTCACACCCCCAAACCGGAGCGGCATAATCGTCCGGGGGTGGATGACCTCATGTTAAGTATTACAACACATGCATCAAAGTAATCAAAGTACAACAACCA